CAAGGAAGCCCTCAGCCCGGCCCGGCCCGGCCTCCACGAACTCACGTGACCCCCACGTCTCTTTCCCACGGTGACTCTGCACCTGGGAGCGCTGCTGGCCCTGGCCGGCTTAGGCCGGTGGATGGAGCGTCGGCTTATAGACCAAAGCATCATGGTTTCGATTCCGGTCAAGGGCACGTACCTTGGTTGCAGGCTCCTCCCCAGCCTGGGCCCTGGGGCGTGTGCAGGAGGCCACCGATCGATGTGTCTCTCTCTCTCCGTCTTCCCCTCTCCCTTCCACTCTCCCTAAAAAAATCAATGGACAAACACCCTCGGGTGAGGATGAACCAGCACCACCAGGGAGAGCACACAGAGCGGGTGGGCGCCTCTGGCCTGTCCGGGGGGGAGCCAGTAGCCAGATCTTTCTGGCTTCACATCTTTCCAGCGGCTTCTGTACCCAGGGGTGCCGATCCAGGGCCCTGCCGCCGGGGGGGGAGTGCCCTCGCCAGTGCGGCTGCCGGAGGTGTTCCTGTCTCTCTTACCTTGTCTTCTAGGCCAAGATATCAAGTCCGATGGCTTCAGCATCGAGACCTGCAAGATCATGGTTGACATGCTGGATGTATCCTTTCACGTGCCCCTGCTGAGAACACGAGCCTGCCGTGTCACCCTGCAGAGAGAGAGCCAGACACGGGGCTCCCCGGAGAGGCCAGCTGCTGCGAGGGTGTAGGACTGTTGTCACCAGGGAACGTGTGACTTCAGGGGAGGGAAAGGGACGGGCCCCAGGCTCAGAGGGCAAGGGCGTGTCCCCGGGACCAGGGCAGGACTCTCCCACAGCCTGCCCGCCATCCTCTGCCCCAAGCGCTTGGGTGTGTTTCCCCGAGTGACAGTGTTCCCACTTCTTCCCCTAGGAAAACACACTTGACCCTTTTTTTTTTTTTTAATATATATTTTATTGATTTTAAACAGAGAGGAATTGAGAGGGATAGAGAGTTAGAAACGTCGATGAGAGAGAAACATCGACCAGCTGCCTCTTGCACACCCCCCACTGGGGACATGCCCACAACCAAGGTCCATGCCCTTGACCGGAATTGAACCGGGGACCTTTCAGTCCGCAGTCCGACACTCTATCCACTGAGCCACACCGGTTTCGGCCACACTTGACCCTTCAACCTCGAGGGGCCCTGACCCCCCCACATCATCGAAAATCCTCGTGTAACTTTCGACTTCCTCAAAACTTAACGACTAATGACCTACCGTTGACCAGAAGTCTTACCAATACCATCCACAGTGGATGTACACATGTTGTGTGCGACACACATTATGTACCATACACTAGAGGCCCAGTGTATGTAATTCGTGCACGGGTGGGCCTTCCTTCTCTCGGATGCTGGCACCGGCTTCCCTCCTGGATCCGGGATCCGGACTTCCCTTGCAGCCCCGGCTTCATCGGAAGGCTGTCCAGTCTAACTAGCATATTGTGCTTTTATTGTGATAGATTCTTACCCTAAAAAGTAAGCTACCAGAAATGTCATTAAAGTCATAGGAAAAAATATAAAGCCCCCTGCATGTCATCCGACAGCTCCTTTTGGGCAGGACCTGGGTCTCCACGGCACCCCCAGACCAATCAGCGAGCGGGGCGTAGGGAGCAGGCAGATGTCTCTCCGGTGGCCCCGGAGTGCCCGGCGGCTTTCCTTAACCGACGGCAGTCCGACGGCAGCGGCAAGCTGGGCCTGAAGGAGTTCTACGTGCTCTGGACGAAGATCCAGAAGTACCAAGTGAGCGCGGGAAGGAGGGAGGGCGGACGGCGGGCCCGGTTTGTGTCGGGGACACGCTGCTGGGCTCAGGCCTGCAGACATGGCGGCCTCTCTCCGGGCATGAGCTCAGGATGAGCGGAGGCAGGCCCAGTGCACAAAGCGAGGGCTGTGCAGGCTCAGGGCTCTGCTCCCCGCCTTCAGCTCGCTGAGCAGACACAGGGTCTTCGGGAAGCCGCCCTCCAAAGGCTGAGTGGCCTCCTGTGCTTGGGCATTTTATTTATTAATTATTTTATAAAATATATTCTATTTTTTTTTTTTTACAGAGAGGAAGGGAGAGGTAGAGAGCCAGAAACATCCATGAGAGAGAAACATCGATCAGCTGCCTCCTGCACACCCCCTACTGGGGATGTGCCTGCAACCAAGGTGCATGCCCTTGACTGGAATGGAACCTGGGACCCTTTAGTCTGCAGGCCGACGCTCTATCCACTGAGCCACACCAATTTCAGCTGCTTTGGCGTTTTAACGGCCCAAGTGTACAGATACCTCAGACAGGCAGGCGGGCCCCTGGCAGTTGGCTGGCCGACTGGATGTGTGGGTTTACAAAATACCATCAGCTACTGAAGGCAGGAACAGCGATTCTCCTGACAGAGGGGCGGGTGGGCAGAGCTGGAAAACCAGCCCCTCGGCACCGGGGCCTGCCCTGGCCTGGTTCTCCTCACCGCCCTGCGCGTGCTATTCCAGAAGATCTACCGGGAGATCGACGTGGACCGGTCCGGCACCATGAACTCCTACGAGATGCGGAAAGCCTTAGAAGCAGCAGGTGAGATGTCACAGTCTCGCTTCCTTCGGCCTCACTGGGGGCGTGTGGGACGCACACGACGCAGTAGCCAGTTGGTGGGCGGTGAGTCACAGCAGGTGCCCGTGTAGTACAAGCCCATCCCGTTCCTCCCCCCGTGAAGGCCGATGGGCAAAGCCAAGTGAGGCCCAGATGCTCTGCCCACGAGGCCGGCCTGCATCTAAGCCTCCTTCGGAGAAGCCTGGCGGGTCCAGCAGGCAAGGCCAGCTCTCGGCAGCGATGGCGGCTGCCATGGCGAGGGCCACGTGGGGTCTGCGTTCAGAGGTCGGGGCGCGGTGCCCCCTGAGCTGGCATCTGCCTGTCCCTCCCCGCAGGTTTCAAGCTGCCCTGCCAGCTCCACCAGGTCATCGTGGCTCGCTTCGCCGACGACGACCTCATCATCGACTTCGATAACTTCGTCCGCTGCCTGATCCGCCTGGAAACGCTCTTCAGTAAGTGGCCGCCCAGGAAGGCGCATGCAGGTTCCCACACGTGTGTGGCCTCGCCGGGACTGCAGGCTGGCTGTCCAGTGGAGGATGGACACCCTCCTCTCGTTTGGGGGAGGAGGGCAGAAATGACGGCTGGGGAGACTCATTGGGGAAGGAGATGGTGTTCCATCACTGCAGCTCGCTCACGGTGACACCTGCTTCTCTTCCCTCCCTCCCCCCCAGGAATATTTAAGCAGCTGGACCCCGAGAACACGGGAACCATCCAGCTGGACCTTATCTCTGTAAGTACACCACCCCTCACTCGGATGGGGACAGGACAAGGACCTGCGGCTGGTTGACCTGCTGTTTGAAAGCTCTCTGGTCCGCTGGGGACAGGCCTGTGAACGGGTCTAGGACCACACACCACGCTGTGTCTGCATCTCTCCCCAGCTTCCCGCTGGCCCTAGGGCGCCTGTCCCTGCTCCCAGGAGCTTCCCCGAGGCAGCACTGGGTGGAGATGAGAAGCGCAGGCTGCAGACCCTCCCTTAGAAGCGCACCCTGCTAACCAGCAAGCCTGGGCCGAGGGGCTTCTAGAGGAAAACCCTTTAGATGAAATTCAAGAGCATTCTTAGAACAGGTGGACTGAAACTAGCTGCTAAGAACATCGCTTTCCTCTCCTCCTTCCCCCTTTAAGACAAAAGAAACAGGACAGGGGCAGGCGGCAACCAATCACAGCGTCTCTCCCACATCCATCTCTCTCTCCCGGCCTCAGTAACAGAAAACGCAGTCAACATGATAATCAAGATGTTGTCCGCGTTGCCCATTGCATGTGTCTCGTTCAACCCTCAGTATAATTCATGACCATCTGCTTCCAACGTCAGCTTTTTATTAACCTGATAAAAACACGATTCTAGAAATCAGGCAGAAAAAGAGCTGGCCCACTGATACCTTAACCCTTGCTCAGCTGTTCTGGTACCCAGTCAGTCAGTCCTTCGGAATCACCTACAGGTCAACTATCCTTCATGTTAAAAATAGTCATTGAACCGATTTTTTTTTTTTTCCTTCCTCCCAGTGGCTCTGCTTCTCAGTACTTTGAAGTTATAAACACGTTTGCCTGAAGACTTCTCGTGAAAGAAAATCTGCCACGGAATACGCTTTCATGGAGAAGACTTTTATCCGGACCTCGATGACGGGAACATTTACTTACACCGATGATTCTAGCCGAACATAAGGATGCCATTTGAGATAGAAGATTTTGCATATCGTTAGACTAATGCGAGTGAGTCGCTAACCCTCGACCAGCTCAAAGGAAGCTTTAGATCTGTACATAGGATGCACTTTTTACTTTTACACACACGGTCCCTTTAGAGCAATATTCAATCAGGTAAAATACATACATAAATAAGTGCAGGTGTTTAACAGCTGACCTCAGAGGACACCGGGTCCTACTGGGAAGACTGAGAGCAACTTCAGGTTCAAAAACGCAGCATCGACCAAACAGCAGCTCAGGGCTCACAGTTCCCTTAAGTGAAATCGGAAATACTAGTCTGATGGTCTCAGGGCCCCTGGAGCCGGTGAGAGCGCCCACCCTGACCTGGCCCCACACCGAACGCTCAAAATACCACAGGGAGTCACTCGTGGCCGTGGACACACACACACACAGGGTACCAGGCGTCCAGCTGCACACTTATTGTGACGAAGACAAAACTGGCTGTTTGCCGCCTGCTCAAGCTCCCGCACACGGCCACCTCCAGCGTCTCGCAGAGTGGGGGGGCGGGCGAGGGAGCCCCAAAAGAGCCGACACAGCTCGTTTCCCGCTTCCCCTGGGGCCGTGCTAACAGGAATGCTGCCTTGTTGCCTTACCCCCTGCCCGATGTGCTGTTAAATAAAAAGAGTCGCCTGGCACCCGGGTGTGTGCTGTGCTTCCTCTGACCCGGGGTGACCCCGATTCCCGGAGGGGGGGGCTGGTGCGTGACACGGAAAACCAAAACCAGCGGGCGCGCCAAGTCCCACAGTTCGCTTTTATTACAACTGTTGTCAAAGTCGGCTATGATCGTGACAAATGTTACGGGTAAGTTTATAACAAGTCTCTAATTTCCAAGATACAAAAGGCAATAAATATGGATCCAAATGCGGCCTAAAAAACGAGATTCCAAACCTAATTATCTGTATGTGCGTAATTCTTAAACTGCTACAAGCACGTGTAACAATGAAGTCACTGCTCGCTGGCTACCAGCCGCTCTTCGCTGACGACGCCTTCATCGGGGCAGAGGCCGCTGGTGCTGGGCCATCAGAGGTGGCCCCGGTGGCCCGCATGGCACAGGGTCTCCCAGGAGCCTGACAAGTGGCCGTTTCTGCGGAGAGAGGCCGCCTGTCCGGCGCAGGGAGGTCCATTTCCGGGGCCGCTGTCCTGCGCCCAGCGAGTCCTCCTCCTTCATTCCTCCCGGAGCACGTCCTCGCGGCTCTCCTGCCACAGCGCCACCGAACAAGTCTGTGAGAGTGCGCCCAAACGCTCCCGCGGCTTCTAGTGATAACGGAGTAATTCTTCACTAACTGCGTTCAGTCAGGGTTCAGGCCAAGCTCCTCTGTCTTGGTTTAATTCGTGGGTACAGCTGTAAGAGAGTTTACAAAACGTTTACATACGTACAAACACGTGGGGGCAGAACAGCTCAGGAAATGGGGGCGGGCACTGGCAGGACAGGAAAGAAATCGTTTAAGAGAAGGGTTCCGTCTGCCCTGCGAAGCCCCCGAGTTGCCTGAGGACACAGATCCACACGCAGCAGCCCTCAGCTCGGGCACCCTCAGGAGCCAGGGGTCCCTCGGCGGCACGAAGCCCCGGGGCAGGGACATAACACGATGAGCGCCATCGCACGGCCTGAGGAGGACGCCATGGACCGCAGGGACCGCAACACGCCCGCGACCCGCACCCGCAGCTCCCGTTTCAAGGGAAACGTAAGAGCTTCACGTCTTTCAACCTGATCCACGGCGGACACGGCTGTCAGGGCGAAGGCTGCAGACTGCCCGTCTGCAGGTCCAGGAGGGACAGGGGAGTGTTTGTTTGGGGTTTTGTGGGCTGTGTTTTCCATAACAAGAGCTGGAGAGGAGGTGTATGGGAAGGTCACAAGATCCCGGTCGGGAAGCCAAGAGCAAGTCAAGCTAGTAATTCAACTGGCAACCGAACAAAAGCTCCCCCCCCCCTCCTCTCACAAAGGGGAAAGAAGGTTTTACTGAAAGAAAGGACTCGGGCTTCCAGCCAGAACTGGAAAAGTCACTGGAGGACCGCGTTATAGAAAGGGTATTTTTCCTCCGAGAAAAGATTTAGCCAGCACCATTTTCTAAACTCGTAGCTGAGCCTCTGGCTAAAAATTCAACATGGATGCAATTTTCTTTTTACATCTGAAAGAAATAAGCAAAGGCAGGCGGTGTGGAGGCCACTTCTGTCCAGAGATTTCCGAAGGACTGAGGCTCTAAGCGCTGGCTGGAGGGTCTTCGGTGTGTTTGTTGCTGGGGTTTGTCCGAGAGGGAAGTGGCGCTCAGACCGCGTTCCCCTGGTGCTCCGCACTGAGCAGAAGCCAGCGGGGCCCGAGGACAGCCACCTCCCTTCATCTGGGAACGCCAATGACTTCAGGACCCTCTGTCATTTACGTTATGATTATACGGAGGAGCACTGTCTGTCCAATAGTAAGCCCTGCTTCACAGGCCGCGTGGGGACGGGGAAGTCACTCAGGCTGCACAGCAGACAAGCAACAATGGAGAAGGGAGAGCCGGGGGACAGGCTGGTCACCAGCCGGCCGGCCAGGCCCGGCACGAGTCACTCTAACCAGCTCGGCCGCAGGGCGCCGGAGGCTGGGCCAGGGCCTCTTGGCCAGCGGAAGCTCTAAGTGGGCACAGGCCATGTCTGCCCCACAGCTGATGGCACCACCGGCAGAACCCCCTCCCAGCCCGGGTCCGCCGCCTGCTCCACCCTGAGCCTCGGGAGGCGATCTTCCCCAGCCTGCCCACCTGCTCCCGGCCGCGGTCACCCAGGTCCCAGGGCCCGGGCACCTGCCGGGGTGGGAGCCAGCCTACTGACCTGCGTGCTGTTCCTTGTCGGTGGCATCGGCCCTTCCTGCCCTCAGACTCGCCTACTTCCTCGCCCACAGGCTCTGCAAGCGCTTTAAGCTCCGTCTCTCAACTAACTCATCTCTCTGCCGGGTTCCCACGGCCCCAGGCCCCAGGCCCACACGGTATGAAACACGGGACCTGGGAAGGCGGCTGTGCCAAGTCCACAAGGTGTCCTCCTCCTTCCCCCGTCCCCCCAGCTTCTCCCCGAAGGCCCCGCTGTTCACATGATCTTATTATTTCCTGGTTTGACGAAACTTGAAATCAAACAGCAGAGACAGAACAAAGAATCCTGCTCGCTGCCAGAGTTGCGAGTCCCGATGTAAACACACCCATTTCCAATGTCAGGAGCCCGCTGCCCATCACGCTGGCCGGGTACCTGCACACGCAGACAGGCCCTGACCTCCAGGCCGGCAAACACCGACGTGTGCCACTGGCCGCCCAGAGGCATCACTGAAAACGTGGCTTTCAGCCTGGGTCTAGACTAGGGGTGTCAAACTCAATCAGAGAAGGGGCCAAAATCTAAAATCCAGCCTAAATCGCGGGCCGAATGGTTTACCGAACAGTCATAAACTGTCATTGTGATGGAAACGCAGCGGAGTGCAGTGATGACAGCGCGGTGCGGGCCACATTGCAAGGCCTGGCGGGACGGATTTGGCCCGCGGGCCTTGTGTTTGACACATGTGATCTAGACCATCCACGTTTTACACTCCATGTCCCCTCACAGGGTTCCCACAGCCCCCGGCCGCGCCGGCCGGCACTCACCCCCAGCAGGTTGCGGGGCACGTAGCCCTCCCGGTCGCCCAGGCGCGCCCACCACCACTCCACCTCGGCCTCGTCCTCGCGCCGCAGCACCGTCATGCAGTCGCCCTCCCTCAGGGGCAGCTCGTCCTCGTGCTGAGGCTCGTAGTCCCACAGCGCGTAGATGACGCCCTTGTTCATGATGCCCATCTTCTCCTGGACGCCTGCCGGGCGGGAGGCACAGCGCAGGCGATGGGACGTGGGTACCGGCCGGCCCTGCGCCTCCCCACTGAACACACGCACACAGGGCCCCGGCAGGGAGGGGCCCCGGCAGGGAGGGGCCCCGGCAGGGAGGGGCCCCGGCAGGGAGGGGCCCCGGCGGGGAGGGGTCCCGGCAGGGCAGGGAGGGGTCCCGGCAGGGAGGGGTCCCGGCAGGGCAGGGAGGGGTCCCGGCAGGGAGGGGCCCCGGCAGGGAGGGGCCCCGGCAGGGAGGGCGCCCGCAGAGGAGAGGGACAGAGAGGGGAGGTGCCTGTGCTGCCGGCTCTGAGCTCACACACTGACCACCCTGAGCGCCTCTGCAGCTAGTCTGCACCCCCCAGACTCCTGCAAGCCCAGGGGCCAGGGAGAACGGCTCCAGGCGAGGACGTAAGCATGAGCGCATGCCGGCCCCTCCCAGCCTGCTCTTACGCATCGGGCCAAGGAACTCAGACACGGCCTCAACCTCCCTAAACTCCGAGCTACCGAGGGAAGCAGAGGTGTGTATCGGTTAAAGGGGTCTATCCATTTCCAAATGCAGGAGGATAGAAGCAGCATATATAAACTATGCTGGGATGCAGAATGGGGCTAAGTGCTTTAGATGTGATTTTTTAAAAGCCTGCATGCGGTCAACTCTAAAATAAGGAGTATCTGAATTCTAAGACAGTGAAATCCACAAACTGTAAGGACTGGTACCCTCAGTGAGCAGCGCCCACTCGGTAGCAGAGCTCCTCCCAGCCCCTCTCCAGCCCTGTCCCCCCCCCCCCGGGGCGCTGCTTCTGAGGGTACCGGTTCTCACAGGGAGGCAATGGGGCGGAGGGGGGGGGGGGGGCACACACATGTCTCACACACACACGTCACGCGAGGCCTACGCACCGTACAGGAACTGCGAGCACTGCGTGTAGCCCTCCTCCATCTCCTCGCACTTGTCCGCGGCCGTCTGCATGTCGCTGTAGGTCATGGCAAACACGGCGGCCCCCGACTCCACCAGGAACTTGCACACCTGCACGTTGTTGCAGGAGGCAGCGCAGTGCAGGGGGGTCCTGTGGGGGGACAAGCGGGCTGGGGACGGCTCTTAACCGAATGGCGCCTGCGGCCACCGGCGATCTGCGAAGGAAGGTCTTGAGTCTGTCGTCTACTAAGCCCTCCTCCCGAGGACTCTTCACAGGTTCCTTTAAGTCACCTACACGCAGACACCGAGCCACCGGAGAACCACAGCCAGCGGGGGACACGGCCCAGTGCCGCGCTGCCGGGCCGGGCGGCGGGGAGTGGGGGGAGGGGCCCAGGGAATGAGCGGCAGGAATGAAACCTGGTGATAACCTAACCCGGTGAGACGCATGCAGTTCGATGCTCTGAAGCTCCAGCCTGATTACTCTGCCGGAGCAGAGGCCACACGGCCTTTTCCTTGAAGACCTTCACTCAGGACATGGCCTCGCCATTCATACCATCACCGACTCTCTCGCCAGCACCGCCAGTGCTTCGTTATGGACCACAAGCCGCCACCCCAGGCCGACAGGGAGGAGGGCCGCTGCCCAGGCTCAGAAGAAGAAGGGCTTGAGAATTTTTATTAAAAATATATATTTTTAACTGATTTCAGAGAGGAAGTGAGAAAAAGAGGGATAGGAATCAATGCACGCCCTCCACTGGGGGCGGAGAGGGATCGAGCCCACAACCCGGGCATGTGCCCTTGGCTGGAATCGAACCTGGGGCCCTTTAGTCCACAGGCCGACGCTCCATCCACTGAGCCAAACCGGATGTGGCAGGGCTTGAGAATTTTAAGCAGGCCCTAAAGGACGTATGGTTCTGTTTCTTTACCCTTTTTCTCCCTCCCCTTTCATTTCGTTCCTCTTGGGTGCACAGCTTTAAAAAATGTGCCCGCACCCCCGATCCAGGCGCTACCCCTGCTAGTGCGGGGCTGTGGCTGCAGATTGCTCGGAGTGGGAGATCAGGTATAACACGCGGAGCTGCATGGAAGCCTCACCACCCGTCGCTGTCGGCAGCGTTGACGTTCACCCCGAACTGCACCAGGAACTTGACGATCTCGGTGTGGCCGGCGCACACCGCGTTGTGCAGCGCCGTGATGCCCTCGTCGTTGGGCAGGCTCGGGTCCTCCACCTGCAACGGCAAGAAGGGGGGCGCCACTCAATGTCTCCGCACCTGGTCGCGAGCAACTGGCTCCGCGGGACCATGAGGACAGAAATAGACTTGTGGCCCTTGTCTAAAAAATCATAATCAAAACCTACGAGAGCCAAGAAAACGATATGCAGAACAATTCTAGAAATGAGACGGACAAAACAGCCACATTCAGTAGGCATTCACTATGAAAAGTTTTTTTCCCCAAAAAAATTGAAGTAGAACCAGAAACTCTATCCGTAGAGTCATTTTTGTTTATTTACCCTCCAACTTCCCACCACAAATTAGTGTCTAAACTACAAGTGACATTTTCCATGGAAAGGAAAAAAGGTCAACTAAAAATATTTTAAATTGTAGGCTTCTGAGCAGCAGGACCACATCTGTAATTTAACCGTCTAGCGTAAACCCACACAGGAGCAACTTTTAAAGGGGGGTGAGGACCCCGGAGAAAGCACAGGACTCCAGGGGGCCCGGTGAAGACGACACTTCTGCATTATCGAACACGTGACAGTCACACCTTTAGGACAGCAACGCCTGCTTTGGAGCAAGTTCAAGAGCTTCTCTCAACAACCCCGCCCCCACAAAGGAAACTCAAAAACACAGCTTCTCTACGGCAGCTTCCTGATGAGAGCTTTAAAGCGAACTATGAAGCAAGGTCGTGTTTAAGAAACCGACCCATCATACCTCGTAGATGATCCTCTGCACAAGGTCAAATTCCCCCTCCAAAGAGGAATCCAGGAGCAGGGCAAGGGGGTTGAACTTCACCCTCATTCCGTGAGCGATCCGCTCGGAGCCGGTCTTACGTAGGTTGGTCCTTTTGCCCTGCAGAAGAAAAGCGTGGAAAAGTAAGGAGCCTGTTCTAAGCAAGAGACCAACAAAAACGGGGAGGAATAACACCCCAGCTGAGTGGGTAAAAGACACAAAAAATACATTCAGCACTTTCTATTGAAGCATCACATCATTCATACATAAGCCACGTAAGTACCTAAGCCACAACAGCTTATCCCATGTGCCCCCAGAACGTGACTTTCTGGAACCTGGTGAGATACCTTTGGGTGTCCCTGCAGCATGAACGGAGCTAAGAGGACCATCTCCAATGACAGGCAGGCTGGTTTTCTGCCAAGTTCAAAACTAACCAAGACTGGTCTTTCAACTACCTGCCTACTATAGCACAGCAAACCCCACCGTTCACTTGGGCAAGAGCTAACCCTAACCCTCTCCCTTCCTCTCTCTCTAAAAATCAATAAAAGTAGTTTTTTAAAACACAACACCGTTTCCTTCCCACGTGTAAGGCCCACTCTGTGCCTAAGGAATTAAATATAAAAGGCCAAGTGCAGGGCACATCCACGGCCACAGGATGCGCCTTCTTCCGGAGTCCCACACCAACACCCGGAAGAGGGACGAGGTTCCCGAATCGTCACACGGGCCACGGGACTTACCGGCGGCAGCGACACCTGCCCGGTGACCTCAGGCGGACGCATGCTCCCCGAGTCCTCCCCCAGCCCCTCGGGCTCCCCCGACGGGTACGGAGGCGGAGGGTAGGGGGGGTACTCCTCCAGGTACACCTCCAGCACGTGGGGGGCCTCCGGGTTCGGTTCCTCCACGCTGTTCTGGAAACTCGGGCTGGCGTCGGGGGTTCCCTCGGACACGTAGTCGGGGCCCAGGGGAGGGGCTGGCAGGTCGCTGTTCTCTGTGCCGGCGCTGGCGGCTGCCTCCGGGGACGCGGGCTCCGGAGCCAGGGGGACCGCCGCCTCCTCGGGCTCCGCGTGCGCATACGGGTTCTGGGTCTCCGCGGGGCCCTCGGGGCCGGCGGGCACTGCGCTGGGCGGGGCCGGGTAGGATGGCGCGGAGATGGTCTCCATGGCAGCGATGGTGGTCCTCTGGTACAGCAGCTTCTGGATGTTGGGCCCGTTGGGCCCCTCTGGCTCGGTGATGGAGCTCCGCTTCTTCAGGGGCCGGGGGGCGTTGGACAGCTTCTTGCGCAGAGCTTCCAAGTCCACGTCGCTCTGGTTCCGGTAGGGGTGTGACAGGAAAGGCAGCAGCTTGGTGGGGCTCAGGGGCCGCGGGATCCTCTCGTGCTCGTGGCTCTCGGGACCGGAGGCGGCCGGCTCGGCGTCGGGCTCCGGGCCGCCGGCTCTGCCCTGGTTACCGGCGTAGAGGCCGTCCAGGGGCGGCTGGTTCGGGGCAGCGACCACGGGCTTGCCGTAGACTAATCGCAGAAGGAGAAAAGCCCCGGTTAAGTTAACTAAGCAACACTGGCCAGGCACAGGCACGGCCAACCCCACGGAGGCCTCCCTCAGCCTCATGGAAGCGCCTCCACGGGCAGCTGCCCGGCCGCCCAGGCACCAGGAGGACAGTCGCCTGTGTCCTCCGCTCTGGAGGGGCCGCGGGCGGTGGGAGCAGGTGCCCTGGGGCAGCCACCACGTGGCAGGCTCTGTCTCTCCCGCCAGTTTCATCCCCTATTGGACTCAGTGTTTCGTAGGATTCACTATCACCACTGCAGTGGCTGATGTGCAGCAGGAACTCCCCTTTGAAGCTGCCCATCGAGACCAAAAGCCACGATGAAACAAGCTCTCGGGACAAAAGCACCGGTCAGAGGGGGGGGACGGGAGGGGGCTCACCGCTGGGGAAGTGCGGGCCTCGGGGCTGCGCCTTGGTCAGGGCGCTCTGCACGGCCTGCTGGAAGCTCTTCCCGGGCGCCGGCTGCTGGGTGTACATGGAGTAGATGGAGCTGGCCGCCACGGTCTGCGGCCGCCGGAGGGGCGGCAGGCCGGCGTCCTTGGCGGGCTGCGGCGTGAAGGGCCGCACGGCCGCGGCCGGCGGGCTCTCCAGCGGCGGCCCCGGGGGCCTGGGCTTGCTTCCCGCGGGCGCCGCGGCGCCGGGCGGCTGCTGGGGGCTCCCGTCGGGCTTCGCGTCCGGCGGGGACGTGCTGGCTTGTCCATAATAAGGCAAGCTGATCTGTTTGGGTTTTGATGGGACGGGAGGTGGTACTTTCCCGTTTTTATTTGCGGCCTGTAAGACACACACACACACACACACACGCACACACACACGCACACAAACACACAGTAAAAACACTGAGCCGCTGGGCACAGGATGGTCTGGATCACCTAACTCCACACATGCAAGTGACCACTGAACTAGCTCCACGTTTAAACCCTTCACATCTAACGCCTAAGGCTCTGAACTGACGCCCAGTGACTGGGACTCGGTAGCCCAGCTCAGTTCCGGGGAGGAACCGGCTCCTCGGGGCCACTTCCTGTCCCGGCAGGTAGCTGAGCAGGACACTGGATGCTCTCCTGGGAGACTTCCATGAAATACGGCCCAGAACAGGTGCGTCCGTGCCCCCGGAGGCGTGACAGCGCACACAGACTCCCGGACAGCGACAGAGGCCGCGTGCTTCCTGCCCTCCCAGGTGTCCCCCCCACCTTGCCCTGTCCCCCTCTAACACCGGCGCTGTACCCCGGGTGCCCCCGCACCTGCGCATCCCGCAGGATGTCCTCGCTGCTCTGGTTCTTCCTCAGGGACCCGAAGGCGGGGGGTGCGGCCGCCTGGTCGACCGTGTCGAACATGGAGAAGGGCCGCACCTTCTTCTCCTTCTCCCTGGGCGGGGCCTCCCCGTCGTCGGCTGAGAAACGGAAAAGAAAAAAAAAAAAAAAATCACACTGATACTCAAAACTGTAGCAGAATTTATTCCTCACCTCAGTCTCCCTCCCCCATCGCTCTGGAACCTGCACTCACGAAATGCCTCCCTGGTTTTCATTAGGTTGATGAAGAAATAACCCAAACAGACAATGCTGGCACTGCCTTCGTTCCCCGACTCAGTGCGGGTGATCTGCACTAACCCCCGCCCCTGGCTTTCCCAGTAAGACAAACCCCCGGAGAAGGAGGGGGCGCCGTGAGGGGCCCAGGCAGAGCGGGGCCGCCCGGCCTCACCTGGGTCCGGGGCGCTCCCGGGGCCTTTCGGGGCGGGGGCGGGGGCCTGGCCTGGGAAGAGGTCGGCGTGGGAGCTCCAGTCGGGGCCAAGGGAATGGACCTTAGAGCCTGGAATTCAGAAAAGCAACCACACGTCAGCTGGCGTTCTGAGGAGTCCTCACCGAGTCCTCTCGCTGCTACGAACTGGAATCTCTCAAAAACAGCTCTAAGTGTCAGATCCAACCATCCCAGCAAACTTATTTAGAAAGTATCAGGGGGCATATTTCTAATTTAAAATTTCCCCCCTTCCTCAAACAGTTTACTTTTTAAATATATTTTATTGATTTTTTTTTTTTTTACAGAGAAAGGAAGAGGAACATTGAAGAGAGAGAAACATCGATCAGCACACCTCCCAATGGGATGTGCCCGCAACCAAGGTACATGCCCTTGACCAGAATCGAACCTGGGACCATTCAGTCCACAGGCCGACGCTCTATCCAACAAGGACACATTACGCTTCGCTGGGTAAGAACATGTCACCACCACACCCAGAAAACGGCTTCTAATTCAGCAGGCCCGGGCTCCCGAACGACACCATAAGAATGCACAGACTACACCAGGCAAAGAAAGAAAGAAAGAAAAATAAGCCATAGCTCGGACTAGTCTTGCCCAATCAGTGTATTCGGGATTTTCCTCCACCAGGATGGACGTTACAAAGCTTTTCTTTGTCTTTACAGAAACACCACAAAAGCGCCCTACAGTAGACTCACGAGATGCCACACTGCTTCACAGCGGCAATTACGGCAAAATCATAACGAAGCTACCGAATGTCACCACATGAGGGTGGTTAGGAAGAGAGACAACACTGGCTGTCATTTTCTCCCTCTCCCACGGTTCTCCCTTCATCCTCCTCCCGTGACAGACCTCCGGCTGGTACCTCCCCGTGTGCCCGAGGACCGCCTGGGATCAAAGCTCACGAACCCGGAGCCTGCTGCTCACACTTTCCCTCCCCACATGCGTGCCTGATCCTAGCACCATCAGCGGGCAGGTACGCGAGCCAAGCACCTGATTTACCAACGGGACCCACCACCTGGCACTCTGCAAAGTCACCACCACTGACCACAGAGAGGGTGCTTTCACACAGACAGTTCCCAGTTACTAACACCCGGTCACCATGTCCTGATCACAGGAGGAATTCAGTACAGTCTGCGGATTTGCAGAAACATCGCATTCGCTTCCCTTCCTGACCAGAACTGTGTCACTCGGGGCTGAGAACATTACATTCTGCTGCCCTCCCTGACCAGCAGAGAACACAGGGGATTCCTAGACTGTGACCACGGGCAGGGACAGGAAGGCGGTGTTGGAAAGCTCAAACAGTAAGGTGGGAGGACGGGCCGGCGGTGACCGGTTTACCTTTGGCTTGGGCGGCGGCCCCGGACCGCATGTGCGGCAGGGTGTGCACCTTCATGGGCCCCTCCGCCGGCTGCATGGCCAGGGGCCCGTCGGGCAGCGCCGGCTTCACCAGCAGCTCCGGCCTGGCCGGCATCCGGGGCATGGTGGACGACTGGATGTAGGGGCCGACGGCCGCCACGCGACTCGGCGCCGACACGCCTTGCGGAGGCAGGTTCCCATCGGGCGAGACCTTCGGAGGAAGCACAGGCCCTTCAGGATCGCCGGGCAGGCGGGATCCAGCCCATCGTGTTCACCAGCGGCCGTAGCCAGAGTCCGCTAGAAACTCCCCAACAAAAGCCCGCTCCCCAACAAGCATCGGCGAGAAAACCGGAGCCAGCGGGTCGGAGCGCCGGCAGGCACCAGGCGACGGTCACGTCTGAGCAGCTCTGAGCGCCGCCTCTACGGAGGGCACGGCCAGCACTGACCACAGCAGCCGCCGAGCCCGGCCCCTCCCGCCCAGCCCGGCGCCCACTCACGGGCAGGTTCTCCTTCTGCTGCAGCGCCGCCTTCTTCTTCCACAGCCGGTCCCGCAGCTCGTTCACACGCTTGTCCATCAGCGCCACCTCTGAATTGCGCTTGTTCAAGCACTCCCTCTGCTGTTGCAGTTTGGCATTCTGCTCCTGGTTCAGCTTGTTTCTTAGCTGAATAAAACAGGGACAGCAGAAGGAGGCAGCCAAGGGGGAGGAAGAATAAGTTCTTACTCGGAGTCCCTCGGGTCACTGTTACATAATTTCTAAGACTGTAAGGTCTCCTGCCCGCTCCCCGCCACTCTACCCCTCCTCTCCTCCCCCCATCCCCCCCCCGCTTCTCATCTCAAGGCTCCGAGTCCAGCTCTGAGGACTGCCTCCGATTTCTAGTGAGGGACTGGACAGTCTATTCTGAACTCGCTGGGGCTCAGGGCTTCCTCCCCTCCATCTCCTTAAAGGAAAAGACGGGGAAATCCAGCCCTTCCTGCCTGCGTCCCGGCAGCCCGGTACCTGCAGCTCCTTGTACAGCCGATCGAGCTCGGCCACGGCGGACTGGTTGTCATGGTGGCCGTCGATCCTGCCGTTCTTGAGCATCTCCAGCTGCCTCGTCAGCTCCTCGACTTTGGACATGGCCAGGACGAGCTGCCTCTGCTTCTGCTGGAACAGGCTGTTCATCTGCTCAATCTCCTCCACTGCGATGAGGAGGGGAGAAAGCAGCCATCGGTGAAAAGAGAAACAGGAATGGACCACTTCCCAGGCAACCGGTTTCCCAGCGAACTTTCCAACAAAAAGTGGAGGAATCTTCCAGACCAGTCCTAGAGCTAACCTAGTGGTGTTTTGTTGTTGTTGTTTTTTAATATATCTTCATTGATTTTAGAGAAGAAGGAAGAGGGAGAGACAGAAACATCAACGAGAGGAATCACTGATCGGCTGCTTCTTGTATGCCTCCCACTGGAGCGATGAATGTGCCCTGACCAAGAATCAAACTGTGGCCTCCTGGTTCATAGGTCAATGCTCAAACAGGCCCACACCCAGACACATCATAATTAAAATGCCAAAAATTAAAGGGAAAGAGAGAATCTTTTAAAAGTAGCAAGAGAGAAGCAATTTGTTACCTACAAAGGCGTTCCCATAAGGCTGTCAACTAATTACCCATCAGAAACTCTACAGGCCAGAGGGAATGGCATGAAGTATTCAAGGTAATAAAAAGAAAGATCTGATACCAAGATTACTATATCAGCAAGGCTATAATTCGAAATAGGTGGTGAAATAAAGAGCTTCCCAAACAAAAAAAGAGTAAAGGGAGATTATCACCACCAAACCAGCACTGCAGGAAATGCTGAAGGGACAGTTGCAATGAGAAGACCTTGCCATGCATATGTGCACTATTATACCCATGGACACAGACGATGGGGTGGTGAAGGCCTCGGGCTGGGGACTGGGTGGGCTAGAAGGGGCCAATAGGGGGGCAGGAAAGGGGGACAGATGTAATACTTTCAACAATGAAGATTTTTTTTTTTTAAATCACCAAAATGTTAATGTAAATGGTCATGTAACTGATAGACCTATTCTATAACTAAAAAATCCTTGCCATCATCTGATTTGCAGTCAAAACATATTTAGAGAGAAAAAACTACTACGTTTTCCAAAGGTAATTTTAGAAACTTGGCTAAACATTCAACAACTCAACTCAATTCAGAGGAGCCAGTGACATCCAAGTTACAGTGCATCTTACTTTCCAAACATTCTTTTACAGTTATCTGCACACGGAGTCTCATCGTACTCCTCTCTGCTGCAGGTTTACATCGCCTTCCCACACCGAAGTGCTCAACATGCAGCCGCGGGAGCGGAGACAAACCGACGGGGCACTCACCGAGCTTCCCGTTGCTCAGTCTCTTCTGCTCCACGTGGCCTTTGAGCGCCCTCACCTTCTTCAGCTTCGCCTCCTGGCTCTCCGCGATCTCTCTCAGCCTCCGGAGCTTCTCCTGCTCGGCGGCCTGCTGCTGCTGCCGCTGATCCTGCTGCTTCAGAAACTTCAGGCGCTGCTCCTAAGGTGAACGCCACCATCAGGCTCTCTCTCTGCGAGCAGGGAGCCCACCGACCCCAAAGCAATCTAACCAGAGCCCCGAGGCACCGGGGCCCGAGGCGCACCAGCACGCTGCTCTGCCCCGGACACGCCATCAGACCAGCGGGGGCCCCGTCCCAGAGTCCCTTAGGGGTGGGATCCCAAAAGCAGGATTCCCGCTCCAAGTGGTTCTTGTGCAGCGAGCGAGCAGAGACCCATGAGCCGCAGCTACGATGGAAGAGGGAGCTCGGGAAGCGGGGAGGCCGTCTCAGGAAGTGATAAGCTGTGAAGTGATAAGCTGTGGCGTCAAGTTTGGGTTCAGATCTGAGCTCGTCACCCTTTAGCTATGAGATCGCAGCAACTCACACAAGCTCGCCGAGTACGTAAGTCTGTTTCTTCATCCATAAGGTGACCGATAACTCCCTCCCCGGCCCCGTGAGGGTGAAAGGAAGTGTGAAATGTAACCCTCTTGCCGAAACCGGTTTGGCTCAATGGATAGAGCGTCGGCTTGGGGACTGAAAGGTCCCGGGTTCGATTCCGGTCAGGGGCATGTACCTTGGTTGCGGGCATATCCCCAGTAGGGGGTGTGCAAGAGGCAGCTGATCAATGACTCTCTCTCATCAATGGTTCTAACTCTCTCTCTCTCTCTTCCCCTTTCTGTATAAAATCAATAAAATATATATTTTAAAAAAAAAAAATGTAACCCTCTTTGTGCCTTTCATCCTTCAAATACAGTGCACTCAACAAACAGGCTCAGAGAGGGGCCTTCAGGAAACTGCCCTATCAGCAATGAGGGAAAATGAGGACACCCTGGGAGCAGCCGGCGCACACAGGGCACGCGGCCTGCCAGGCCCCTCACACAGACGTTACCTTCGTCGCCAGCATCTGCTGCTGCGCCTCTATCTGCTGCTGCTGGCGCGACGCCATCTCCTGGAGCTCGGCGAGGGTCAGGTCCATGCGAGGGCTGTTCACCTAAGGGGAGGCAGCAAGCCCGCCCGTGAGCGCGCAGAGCCGCCGCGGGGGTCTGGCTGTGCTGTGTGCGAGCCTCGCCTGGACCCCTGGGGCACCGTCATGCAGCCATTTTCCTTCCGTGGTATTAAAGAGACCACTGACTTTTACATCATCACTCCCTCCCCGCTGATTTATTACTAAGTTAAGGTATAAAACATACTCACATACAGACCAACGCTTTTATTTTAAATAAAGTAAAATAAGATATTCTATTTTAAAACTATTTAAACTTAGTTTCAATCGTCAGTAACGTCGGACGAGTGAGCTAAAGGGTAAGAGGCAGCGGCGCAGTGGTGCGCGCCCCCGGGATGACAGCTCACTCACCCCGTTCTCCTTCCGCCGCTGGTCCCCCGGCACCTTCACGCCGTTTCTTTTCAGAGTGGGATCCTGAGGCCGCGGTCCACTCACTAAGCACACAAGTCAAAACCAAGCGTTAAATCAGAGCCGCAGACGCTCCAAGTCCATTTCTTAGTGCTGTGATCACTGCCCTTGGACATTTTAAGTGGAAAGGAAACTTTTCTTAGTTTGGGAAAGTACTAACTGGAAAACACTGTATTCTGTTTTGGCTAAAACGAAAGTTTTAAGCCAAAATATATGGGTCTTTCGGCATTACTTAAGGCATCATAAGGGAAAATAGTCTTAATTTAAACTGATACATTGTAAGAAACAAATATCAACAAAGAAAATTTTTTATGTAAGTGAAATTAACCTAATATTTCTACTTCCAGAAGTTAGAAAGATTATTAAATGTCTACTGAACCTGCCTAAAGCTTACCACCAACTCCCATTCCAGTAACACGGTATCTTCAGAGCCAGGGGTCCCGCCATCCCTAGTCCTACTGTGTTAGCTTTGTTTATTTATTTTCTTATTTATCATATATTCTTATTGATTTCATAGAGGAAGGAAGAGGGAGGGATAGAAACATCGATGACGGGAGAGAACCATTGCTGGCTGCCTCCTGCACGCCCCCCACCGAGGATCAAGCAACTCCGGCCTGTGCCCTTGACTGGAATCGAACCCGGGACCCTTCCGTCCGCAGGCCAACACTCTATCCACTGAGCCAAATGGGCTAGAACCGTCTTAGCTTTATTTTTAAAACACTGTTCAATTCTCTCAGAAAACAGCCCCAGGAATCGGTCACACTACTTCTGCAAGAAAAGTAAATCTACGTTTAGGAACAACTGCTGTCTCTGCTGCCTCGAAGGCAGTCCCCACCAATCCATCCCCCCACCACCACCACCATCACCACCACCTCCGCCAGTGCAGTTCCATAGATAGCAAGGCAAGAGCTTCAAACCACATCCATTCTGGGTCCCAGGCCCGAGTAAAACTGGAAAAAGACCACCGTGACAGCCTCCTAACCTATAATCCAGCCGATGGAAGGACACGGACCAGCAGCCCTGTCCTACCCAAGTCCAACACCGTGGGGCACTGGAGCGTGTGACAACGTGAAACGGCTCCTCCACCTCCGTCCGCATCTCACGTTACAGACACTCCGACACCGCACAGCACCCCATCGCGAGGCCGTTCAATAATTCAGCCCCGGCTGCACGGCCGGACATCTCAACTGGCAGGCGAGTGGGTAACGTCCAGCCATTTCTCGGCAGAGGATGCGTGCAGAACGTAAACAGGACGAATAAAAGTGAGGTGCAGGTGCCAGTGAAAACCACGGAGAAGAATGGTTAGGGAAACAATAGGTGCTCATTTAAATCAGATTCACGGGCACCGTCACACCACACAGCACGCCGGCCCGCCGGCTGGGCAGAGGTGATGGAGTCCCACTCTGGCTCTGCGCTGGGTGTGTGGCCTCTGACAGGTCACCGAGCCCCCGAGGATCACCTTCTCCTCTGCGGAGTGCAAGAGGCCAGACAAGTCCACTGTGAGCTCCTCCGTGTCTGACCTTGGTAATTCCTCATTGCGGGGACCCTCTGGACTTCTCAATTCCCAGTAAAGCCATAAAACTGAGACTGCGTGCGGAACATCCAAAGGCGAACATGTTACCTAGTCTTACTCCCGAGAATTATGTACAAGAGTCACAAACACTCAGCTTCCCATTGTGAAAACTCCAACAGGCTTAGAAATACCTCGTGATCGCCTCCACCGGCGCCTGCCCGCGGGGCGCGGGGCCGCCCGCGGACCTGCCTGGAAGCTGCTCGCCCTGCCACGTCCTCCCAGACCCGCCCAATGGCGGTGCCGTGTGCAGCCGGCTGTTTCTCCGCGCCATGACTGCCCCCTGCCCTCTCCTCCCGTCATCAAACCTGGTCACAGCCTCTTCACGAGAGGTGAGCACCTGACTACCACGTTCCGCCCAGGCCAGCCCTGCCTGCACCCGCATGACGGTCCCAGCCACAGCCAGGCTCCGGGCGCTGGTTTCCTCACCTGCCCCCTGCCCCCCGGCCCCTTTCATGGCCAACCTGGCACCGCGGCCCCCGGAAGAGCTCCGCCTGGAATCCTACCTCCCAGCCTTCTGCTGTGACCACAGCTCCTCCCACTCACCCTGCGCGGACCTGAGCCGTGTCACCTCTAACCCCTGGCCGCCCTTCCCCTCAGCCCTTCCGTCCTCACTTCTTCCCCGGCTTAGCCGTCGTCTCGCCGGTACCCGCCCCCCCCCCCCCTCAGATTACCCGGGCCCAGGCCAACGCCCGGCACACAGTCCCGATCCCGCTGCCGACCCCGGGGTGCACCTACCCAGGTCCCGGCCCGGGGGGCGCTCGTGCCGCAGGAAGAACCGCACCTCGTCCCTCTGGCTCCCGAACCTCTGCAGGACGTCCAACATCCGCTCGCCATCGGCCACGGGGCGCTCTGGGGGGGGACACACGCACGTGTTATCTATCCTGCGTGCACATGACATGCTGGGACTGCAGGAAACACACGGCAGCTGAGGTCATCTGTTTCCACTGCAGGGCCCCTTGGAAAATTCCCACACACATCCGTGTCGAGCCCGGGGGGAGGCCTGGGCCTGGGCCTGGGCCTGGGCCGGCTGGAAGGGGCCGGGCCGGCCTCACTCCGTGGGCCCCTCACTGGCCATCGGCCGGCCCCGTAGCCAGCCCCCGGGTTCCACAGGTTTCCGTCATCTCCTACGCGGGATGCTCTGAGGTCCCTGCTAATTCCACTGGTTCTAGGATTCTCTAAATATATTAAACCAAAAATTTATAAACAACTTTCTAAACAGCTTCGTCTTACTCTCTCCTAGACTTTTTAAATTATTTTAAAAACTGTTAAAAAACTAGCTGTATCCACTGCCCAATGACAGGCTGCTGACTGCACTGCACATACATCCACGTGGCCCCTCCAGTGAACGGCCACTTGTCCGGACTTTTCTAGAGACAAAAAGAAGGGCCCAGCTACACACCCGAATAGATGGGGACCTCGGGAGAAACCAGGTACCTAAAGCTCCCCTCAAAAAACCTCCCAACCCTGACTCATGTGTCATCTATGCACCAAAGGGCTGCAGGTCCGAGTCCCAGACAGGGCACATGCCAGCTTGCGGGCTCCATGCCCAGTCAGGATGCATGCGCAGGCAACCGATGGGCATTTCTCTCCTCCTGCCGACGGAGCACGTCCACCCGTCACTGCGGTCACCACGCCGTGTCCTAAGCATCTGCTGAACCTGTTTCTACTCGACGGCAGCAAACTTATCTGTCTCCCTCCCCATCGGTCCCAGGCTGTAACAGGAATCTCAGAAATGCTCTCTACACAAACACTGACAGGCGGCAGGGAAATGAGATGGCAAATCAAAGCTCCTCGCTGTAAAAAGGTTGTCAGCGAACGAAAATTAGAAACTTGAGAAGCTCACAAAATCAAAGTGATATATTTACTATTTGTTAAATAGGACACTTGGGACCATTTATAGCAAAGGAGGGGGGTGTGTGTAAAACATCATAGCTATTACTGAGAGCTAATACTAAATGCACAGAGAGCTATGCGAAGCCCCCTCCCCCCACGCATTATCTCCTGGAATCGTCACTCAATCCTATGAGATAGGTTCAATTATGATCCCAATTCTGTAGGTAAAACACTGGAGAATTACAGAGATTAAGGACCCGGCCTTCCATCATAAAGCTGGTAAATGTCAGAGCCAGGATTTCAATACCCAAGACTTGGTTCTTAATCACACCTTACAAACCTACGTCAAATTAATTATGAGTCATTGCAACCAATCAAAATCCCAGCAGAATGTCTCCCGGAGTTTTTCCAGGTAATTCTAACGTATATCTGAAAAAGGGAATACACAAGCATCGCTCAGGAATTTTTTTTTTTAAATCAGAATGAAATAAGCCCCTGCCTTACTGATGATACCCACTAAGTTAGAAAACTATAGTAATTAAAACTGGCTGCACCCCCAGCGGGGAAAGGGGGGCCGCGGGAGCTCACCCAGGCTGGCAGGAACGAGCAGAACTCGGGAAAAATTGCTCCCAGGTCTACAAATCCCTAAGGGGCCAAAGAAACCAGGCCGCCCCACTTCCGAGCTGCAAAGAACCACACTGAGGGACTGACTTCAAGGCTTCATACACCAAGTGGCCAGATGATGATGATCTCTGAACGCATAATAATCTGGCCACTCAGGGGGAGGGGACATGGGCAGTTGGCCTGCCTGCTGGTGGAACTCCTGGTCGAGGGGACAGTTTCCATATTGGCCTTTTATTCTACAGGAGATCATAATAAGCTGGCCACTCAGTGTATAAGGCCTATGATTGCACCACAGCAATCAACACTGAGCAGCTCTGCCTAAAAGCCTACCAAACCTTGGCGAGGGCAAGACGGTCAGGAGGCCTCACGTTTCCAACCTGGCAGAGCCTGAGCACATAAAACCCCGGGAGCACCCCGGCCGCTCCCCCCGGCGTGCCAGCTGCCTGCCCTCTGACCTTTCCTCTGTGGTGTGGCCACTGGGATGCAGAGAGAGAACAGAGACGTCCTTTGTCACAGCAAAGCTGGAAGGAACGTGTCCCCTGACGGGCACGCTGCCGTCCAGCTCCTGGGTGAGAAGCGGGAGCACCCGCCCCATCCGGGAGCCATGGAGACCGTAACCAAGCACGGCCCGCCCCGCCCGCCCACCTGAGCCACACCACACTTCGGCCAAATGGCAGTCGCTCTCGCCGGGCTCCTTGCACAGGTCCACCACGTCCCTGCATATCGTTTCTGGGGTCACGGGGACTTCGGTGAAGTGCTGCTCGTTGTTGCTGAGGTACACGGTAAGAAACATCTGGAAACAGAGAGAAAGCACAAGCGTTACCGACTGCCCGCGCTGGCGGTGCCCGCCTTCGCCTCCCGCCCCCAAACAGGCCCCGGTGCAAATGTCCAGCGGAACAGCCCGGCCAGCTGTCACGCCACGACCTTTCTGACCTTGCAGACAAACAGGCCAGCAGAGGATTTAAATCTAAAACTCATTAACAATCTTCTTCCCAATAAAAATAGACATTGCACCTTAAAAAAAGAATGCAAGTTTTCACACCTATTAAATTACAAAAAAAAAGAAAGAAAGAAAGAAAAATGCTGTTAATTCTCAGTGCTGCAGAAGCAAATTGTTGATGCAATGCCAGTCAGTAAACCCTATGGCTCATTCAACTCAGTGGGTACCCACTATGTGCATGCAACTCCATGAGCACCTACTCAGCGCAAATTAGTATGCATCAGGAATAGAAGAACAAACCATTTGTAACCCCACTGTAACACTTTATCTTATGAAAATAATCAAAGATAGAGCATGCCAAGGCTCTGGACCTTGAGCCTGATGGACCAATACAGTACATTATGCAAAAATAATTAGTGAGACTCCACAGGATTTGGGGGAAGTTTGGGTCTTAAGGCTGTAAAAAGCAGAAGAGTAAGAGCCGCACTGAGATCACAATAACACGAGACCATCAGTCAACAGCCACACGACTGCCCCTTCCAGCTAACCGCCCGCCCGTCACCCCCGAGCTGGGAGGCTGCACTCGGCCCCTGTTGTAAGAAGGCAGCGTCCCGTTAGGGATGGTGGTGGAAAGTAGCTAAGACACCGACTGGATGCCCCAAGGATTTGGCCGAAGTGGGGAGAGAAGATGTGCACATGAGAAAGTGGGGGGAAGGGGAGGTGGGGGGAGGACACAGGGCCGGGAGGAACTGGCTCATCCCTGGGAGCTTCCTGGCTCCTCCTCGCAGTAAAACCAACTCTTCTTAAGGGAATCCAAGTCTCCACTTCTTGTAGCTAAAGCTCTGAATCCCCATAAATGTGGAGAACATAGGAAGTAACCTAGAGACCTAGCCAGTTGGGCTCATTGGATAAAAGAGCTGTACCAGATGAGGTCAGAACCCGCCAGCCAATGACACCAAGTTTGCACAGAGATACACGGTTCTAGGCCTCCGCTTGGCCAACAAGAAGCACTTTGGAACTGGTACACAAAAACTGCAAAGTATGAGACAAATAACAAAGATGAACTAAACTCACGGAATCCCACCGGCTGCGCTCTGGCAAACGCACAGCCAGTGTATGTAGGGACAGAGATAAACCATTCACACTTCAGTATGAAACGGGACGTCTCTCCTCCATATCCCCCCCACACACACACACCAAAACGTCCTTTGGAGTTCAACTCTTCAAGAACAGTCACTGTTCTCCCTGTAAATAGGAGACTTGGGTGTTTATGAATACAGAAATACTTAATAGACAGTCTGCCTACTGAACACAGAGGCCCAACACATAACGGTTACCTGAGACTGGCACCCCCCCGAGTGCTGGCACCCACCTCAGAATCGCACCTCGGGGCTCGGTGGGCAGCCCAGGCACTGTGTTCTCTTCCTACAGAAATCCTTTAAAGGGGACTCGGAGAAGTGACCTGCTCAGCCGCTGGAGGAGAGGGCCGGGGTACAAGTCTGTTCTTCTGATCCCGCCTCCCCCCTGTAAGCTGTCCACGGGGCGGCTCTATTGAACCCAAACTCGCATCGAGATCGGGGCTTCCACCTGCTGGGAAACCACAGCCTTGTTTCTTTAAGAGCGCAATCACAAGTAAGAACGACGAGGTGCGTTCTGCTTATGATTACTGTCCCCCCAAACCCCAGAATTAACACTGGCCTGAACGGTAGCACATGCGGTGGCCCATCTCTACCTCGTCTGCGTGCAGAGTGGCTCCGGACGACGTTCTGACCGTGTGAGGCCCTGGGTGCCGGGCCGGCAGTGTGACCTGCTGCCGGTTCCGGTTCTGGGCAGGAGATCAGGGGCGAACCCCAGATTTGTTAATGATTAGACAACCTGAGGGAAATAATGCCACCTCCCGAATCTCAGCCTCCCCGTCTCCAAAATAAGAGTCTGTAAGTTCCCTAAGAGCCACCGCTATTTCAGGTGTTTATTCGGTGTCAGAGTAAAAGCCAGCGTGTTGACACCAGCCTGCAAGCTGGACGTTAGCAATCCAGGCATGACAGATTGGACAGAAGACAGGTGGTGTGACTCAGTGAGGGTGTGGGAACTGGACAATCCAGTGACTAGTGAGAAAGTCAATTCAGGAAGAAGCCAGGCTGCTCTGATGTGTGACTATGACAGCAGGTGGGGGGGGGGGGGGGCAGTTTGTTTTGGATTAGCTGCTGATCCTGCCCACACCACCCCCTGCCCCCTCCCCTCTCAGCCCTCCCCTCCTAATGCCCAGCTGTTCCTCCCGCGAGGGCATGCTCCCCCTCAGGGCCAAGCACTTCCGTTCCCGTTTGCAGTGTCCCTCCCTGCAGGCCACTCCGATGTGGCCTTTTCAGCGAGGCCTCCCTGGCCACCTGCTAATGCCACTTCCCTGCTTTACGCCTCTTCTTGGACAGTCGCTGACATGGTATATCTAATCATTACAGTTATTTCGTGTGTTTTTATTATGTCTTCCCTATTAAAGCAGGCCAGGGTTTGTCAGTTCCATGCGCTACCCTCGGCACCAGGAATGTGCCTGGGACGAAACAAGGAAGCGGTAAGTGTTTGTTTATGATTAATAAATTCTTTAGCTGTGACTGCAGTTCACAGATTTGCCTCTGATTGAGTTTCCCAGTAAGTGTTCTTTCCGCCCGGTAAATGCTACAGCGGACGGCACAGCTAGACCTGAGAGAAATCAGTGCGTCCCTCCTCTTTTCTCCAGCTTCTAGCATGGCTTTAACCAGTCCTCCCACTTGTCTCAACGTTCTCCATTCATCACTATTTCTAAGCCACCACCTTATGATCTAAGTTCGAGTAGAACTGACCCTCACCAAAGAGCTAAGCCGGCACACAGCACAGCATTTGGGAGGGACACGGCCGGCCTCTGGGGAAGGGGCAAGTCCATGCGACTCCCTCCCTCGTCTGTCCCCCACCTCTCCCCACTGGTCACTCACAGCGGTAAGGTGGCCTGGGAATAGCTTTTGGAAATGAACCTTGGGCAGGAAGCAGGGTGGGGAAGGTGGAGGGGGAGCTGGAGGACAAGCGGAGTGCAGTGACTCCCACCCCTGCCAGGTCAGGGACGGGCCCGGGCACCAGCTCCTGAAAGAGCGCAGGAGCCTGGCTGTCCCAGGCAGAGGGACCAGCGGCTGGAGAGGAAGGACGGAGTCGGTCAGTCTGTGGACGAGGAAGGTCACTAGAGGGAGCACAGGGAGACGTTAATTCAGAGGCCGGATCCTGCAGGACTGTGAAGGCCACAGGTCCTCACTTCGGTGTGGATCACACACAGGTGCTGGGCCAGCTCGAGCTTCCGAGTCAGCAGATGGGGAGAGGGACTGCGAATCTACATTACTGTGTGTGCATGTGCGTGTGTGTGTGTTTTGTTGTGGTTTTTTTTTTTTTTTTTAATAGATTCTGCATTTCCAAGACGCTCCCCTGTGATGCTGCCGCTGCAGGCCCACAGCCCACAGCTGAGAACCGTTGTTCTAAGGCCCCAACAAGAATCTGGATTCTAATCTAAGAGGCCATGGGGGGGGAGGGGGCGGAGCACAAAGAGGCAGGGCAGAGGATGGTTGCCAGGGGCTGAGGGACTTTTTGGGTGATGAAACGCTCTGGGGGTGGAGAGGACAGTTAACAGCCCCTGAGGGGACCGAAGCCACTGAACTGCCCACTTGACAACGTGGCGGGGAATGTCTGGCCCTCGGGCTGGGCTGAACGAGGCCCCGGAAACCCTTGGTTCTGGCCCTGCCATGGCATCAGGGGTGAGTTAATGCAGTGTTTCACCCACTGCAGCAGGCTAGTTTTTAAGGTGATAATCCTGTATGGCCTGAGAATGATGTGATAAATATCCAATGCCCCCCCACCATCACCACCCACCGCCTCACAGGGTGAATTTTGTGACATATGAATTGGATCATCACTTAAAAGGCCTACTACATGCTGACTGTGTGAGAGAACCATCTCTAAGGAAGGTAAATTTACCCATGGGTAAGTCAGAGAACAACTTAGAACTAATTTGCATGAATGAGACTTGTAGGTCAGGTGGGAATTCAGAAATGGGGGGAAAAGAAATGCCAACTGAGCCGAGACCGGTTTGGCTCAATGGATAGAGCGTCGGCTTGGGGACTGAAGGGTCCTGGGTTCGATTCCGGTCAAGGGCATGTACCGTGGTTGTGAGCATATCCCCAGTAGGGGGTGTGTAGGAGGCAGCTGATGGATGACTCTCTCTCATCGATGTTTCTAACTCTCTATCTCTCTCCCTTCCTCTCTGCATAAAATCAATAAAATATATTAAAAAAAAAAAAAAAAGAAATGCCATCTGAGACAGACTGAAGACAGCCAAGAGGCGTAAACGAACGGAAAACATAAAAACTGACCTACAGTAACCCTCCTTCCACAATGCCACCTTTCCCGGACACTTGGAGCCCTCATACACCATCACACTCCGCACCCCAAGGAAACAGACAGGACTTCATTCGCTCTTTCCCACGCGGAGCAGCAGACGGGTTCCCTGGTGAACTCCCCGGGGAGAGGCTGGGGGAAGCGGGATTATTCTCTCTGACTCCGACTGCAGCGATCCATCGTGCCTGCGAACAGCTGAGCTCAGTTCTCTCCGTCATGACGAGGGCAGCAACCATCGATCGAAGCAGCGTCCAGCTTCCCGCCTCGCTGGACGCGGAGGAAGCTGCTGGGGCTGCGCACTCACAGCGCCCAGCCCCGCGGACGGCTCTCCTCCCTCCGGGCAGAGGCGCCCATCAGCCCTGGTCAGCGACTTTAAAGTGCCAACTTCCTTCCACTTGTAAGTCAGGAACGTCAACTTTTGACAGTGCCAACTGCAGGAAGAGATC